CAAGGGAGACCCATCAACACAATGGCTACGAGACTTCCACACCATCCACGAATGAGGTAAAGAAATGGAAGATTCTTACGAATTTCTCATGCCGTGTAAAACTGATCAAGCATGCAACTAAGGTACACTGATAATTATCAGTAACGAAAATATGAAAACTAGAAACAGAAAAGAAGGATCAGAAGTTATAAAACATGCCCTTGGGTGTTGGGAGCCGGTCCTAGCAGACATTCTCAAGGTCCTTCAGTGACCGGCCCTAGTGGAAAATTACTGGCAGGTGGTTATGCCTTAAAAGATATCTTAGTCACCAAAGCTTCCTTGTTCTATGAAAATGTCTGAGGCAGTTTGCAGTCTGTGTTACCCTCCGTCTCCCCCCGAAGTGTTCTTTGACTATTGTGCATCTGTAACTGTTCTGCAGCTACGTGACCTTGGTTGGTTATCTTCCCCACTCTTCACCCATTGGTTGAAATACTAAGCACTCATTGGACTACAGACATACCATATTGAGAATAGGATGGATAGCTGATTGGTTAACATTCTTATGCTTCATTATAATAATACATGTTGGATTGGATACTGTGCAGCACACCTTATTAGAATATGCACCTCCCAGTTCCTCTTTATATTCCCCGAGCTTTGCCCAAATAAACGAGCTTGATCAGCATTTGTCTTGCTCCACGTCTCCGTGTCTTTCTTTCCATCCAGGTTCGTCTTTCCCCCCAGGGTCCCGCTCGTGCGTCCCGCTGGCCCGGGACGCAACAACTGGCGCCCAACGGGGACAGAAACAATGCCAGAAATAGCGTGATAGAATTTTGCATGACTATTTTGTCAATAACAAAACCAGCAACTATATATGTAAACCTTGTCAGATGGAATACACAAGAATCAAATCAAGATGATGGAGAGGCTCAATATCACCCGTCAGAACAAGGCCAGGGGCTGACTGCACAACAGGCCATCAAGTGCTCACAGAAAAGCTCAAGTTAAAGCCGAAGAAGGTGACGAGTCCATGAGAGCCGCTAAAACCTCAAGCATATCTCGCTTGAACTTGGAGACCGTCTCAAGAACAGATGGACATCACACACCAATGCCCAACGAGCTGTGGGATGACATCAAGGACATTATACATGAAGGAAGCAAAAGGTCATTTTCATGAAATGTGCAAGAACCTAGAGTGAGAAAACCAAAAAGGGAAAACACAGGGCATTTTTCAAGCTGACATAACTGAAGGAAAAAAAACCAAAAAACCACTAAGGACTGTATGAGAAAATATCAAATTACATAAGCAGCATCAAAGGAAGATGTACAGAACATAAAGAGGCATTGCACCCAAAATAATGGTAGACTTTCAGCCATTTTAAGAGGTAGCATGTGATCAAGAAACAACGGTATGAAAGAAAGAAGTCCAATCTGCTGGGGGGGGCAGGGGGTGCCGCCACGGGTTGTTGAAAAACAAAAGAAAAAAGTACCCACTGTCAAAGAGTCAATAACTTACAAAAGTAGAGGAGAACTGTTCCACAGAGTTTTCAAGACGATAAATCTTTAGAGGAGCGGAAAGCCTCCTCTTTCTTCTTGGAGTGCCAGTGAATTTTCACTGCTGACCTCCCACTTAGCAGCAGGCTTCAGGAGTTGCCAAATGAAATGTTTTAACAGACAGATACAACACTGGAAGTGATTAGTGCAAGTGATGATATCAGAAAAGTTGGGCAAGAGACTGGAAGAGAGCCATACTTGCAAGGATTGCAAAGAAAATGTGATCCAAAAGAATGTCAAAGTTCCCCCCAAATAATAATATCACAGGTGTATAATTTTGCCAGCAATCACTCTAATTCAGTGGCAACAGTACATCAACAGAGAACTGCCAAATATTTGATCACAATTCAGAAAAGGATATGTAATGATGCACATCAATGCTGAGGTCACATGGCTCTTGAGTGAAAACAGAATACTAAATTACCTGTATCACTGTCGATGCAAAGGTATTTGTGTGGATAATAAATTATGGATAACATTGCAAAGAATGGGAATTCCAGAACATATGTGCATAAACCAAGAGATAAGTTATTCAAACAAACTGCATGGCTTAAAATCAGGGTGTGCCGGGTTGTATCCTTTCAACATACTTATTCAATCCACATGCTTTTCAAGTGATCCAAGAAGCTGAACATATAGTTCATCAAGAGTGAAGGAAGGCTTTTTATCTGATTTTCTGCATATGAAATCCAGGATAGGTAAATCTATAGACAAGGTAAATGGATTAAGGGTTTCTTGGGGGTGTGGCAGGGGAGGTTGGGGGAAATTGGGGAGCTAATAACAATAAGTCCAAGAAAGAAAATATTCTAAAATTGATTGTGGTAATGACGGTCCAATTCTTCTTTATATCACTGAACAATGGAACTGTATGATGTGGATGATGTGCCAATAAAACTGTTTAATGAAAAACAGATAGGAAGAAGGCTCATTAGCAAGCTGCAAGCTGCAGATGATACCTTACTTGCTGAAAAGGAAGAGAAAGTGAAGCATTTACTGATGAAGTTCAAGGACTACAGCCTTCTGTATGGATTATGCCTCAACATAACGAAAACAAACCCCTCACACATGGACAAAGAAGCAACAAGATGATAAAGGGAGAAATGATCGAAATTGTCAAAGATTTTATTTTATTTTGATCCGTAATCAACATGCAAAGAAACAACTATCAAAAAATCAAACCATGCGCCGAGGAGGGCATAGAAAGCCTGGTGGTGTTTCATCAATTGTAATGTAACTGAGAGGAATTACTGAGAGATGAATGAAGGGTGAACTTGAGAGTGGGGCAGGAGGAAAGTAAAAGGAAATCAGGAAAGAACTAGGAGGCAAAAGCTATATAGAGAGGTATAAATATAAGCATGTATATATGTAAATACATTAGTATATAAATACATTAATATAATATATTATATATAATAATATATATTAATATCTTAATGTAAAATACATGTAAATATATTTACATGCTAAAGTATTAAGGTAACAACGGACTTTGGACCTCTACTGAAGTCTTCCCTCAACACATGAACGCTTTGTTCTAATAACCTGGCACTATGTGATGGTCACCTTCCCAACACAATCGCTGAAGACAAAATGGGTGCATAAGCAAATGTGATGAAGAAAGCTGATGGTACCCGGCCATTAAATATACAGTGCCTGGGGTCTTAAAGGTTGAAGTTAAACAAGCATCTATCTAGCAGGGAAGTAACAAAGCCCACATGGAGGAAGCACACAAGCCTGTGTGATCATGGAATGTTGATGGGATCAAGTATCAGACGATCAAAAACAATTACTATATGGATGCAAAGGAGAGGGGTCCGAGTGGAGACCCAAAGTCCATCTGTAGACAATTGGACATCCCTTCACAGAAGGGTCACACAGAAGGAACAATTCAGCCAGGGTGCAGTTTAGCACCAATGAAACACACAACATTCCTCTGGTTATTTAATGTCCACCCCGCTCCCACACTATCATGACCCCAGTTCTACCTCACAAATCCTGCTAGACTGGAGTATGTACATCAGTACAGATTAAGAGCTTTCAACACATTGAAGCCAGGACAGACAAACCCCTCAGAAATAGTGATGGGTATAGAGACACCATGAGGGTAGGGGGAGGGGAGGAAAGGGGGAACCGATAGCAACGATGGATGTATAACACCCCCCTCAGGGGGATGAACAACAGAAATGGGGTGAAGGGATACAGCGGAAGGGGTAAGATATTAAATATATAGATATATATACTTTATCAAGGGTTCACGGAGAGGGAGAGAAAAGAACTGATAATAAAGGGCTCAAGTAGAAAGATAATGTTTTGAAAATGACAATGGCAACATATGTACGAGTTTGCTTGATATAACTGATTTACAGATTTTTATAGCATCTGTAAGAGCCCCCAATAAAACGATTTAAATTTAAAAAGGAAAGAAATCAAACGATGTATTGCATTCGGAAAATCCGCTGCAAAAGACATTTAAGGGATGTATGTGAATTACATGTCAATAAACTGTTTTAAAAACTTCTTAATTTAAAGTGTTTTTTTTAAATAAAGCAAAGCTATCACTTTGAAGACTAAAGTGCACCCTGTCCAACTCCTGGTACTTTCATTCCCCTTATACGCCTGGGAAAGCTGGACTATGAATAAGGAAGACCGACGAACAATTGATGCCTTTTATTGATCAAGACGGAATATACCAAGTGCTGCCAGACACAAACACAAATCTTTGTTGGAAGACGTGTAACCAGACTGCTCCTCCGAAGGGCGGTGGGAGACTTTGTCCTACATTCCCTGGACATGTCAGCAGCAGGGGCCAGTCCCTAGAGGCTCGGTAGAGTGACGAGGGTGAGCGAAAAGTGGAAGACCCCCAGGAGACGGGGTGACACAGTGGCTGCAACCAGGAACTTAAAACACAGACGTAGTCGGCTCTCGGTGAAACGTAAAGAGCTGTTCAAATGCTAACTTACGGACAAAGCTGTAACTTGTGACGAGTTAGCGGCTCTCACTGAGGCTGGAGGTCCCACGAGACCATCCATCCCACTCCCACCGCCGGCCGACACCCCCGTTCCCCTTCATCCCGTGTAGGTAAGGGTGCCTGCAGCGACTCCCTTTTCTCTCCCCCAACCCCGACGGCTGTCACGAGCCACTCACCGCGCAGGCCGCATCTTAGAGCCCTTTCCAAGCTGAAACGTTCGACTTTGCAAGTTCGCCCGAGCAGCAATGGCAGTTTCCCTTCCCGCTCAAAACCGAACGCCGGCGCTCCCCGCCCACCGGCCGCGGCCCTCCAATCATTCCCAGCCGTCCTTACGTCGGCGCATGCGCTCTGAGAAGGTCCTGTTTGTTCCCGCCCTGCCCGACGCGACGGCCGTTCCGCAATGGGTTCGTCCTTACGTCTGCACTTTCGTCACAACGGTAGCTTTTTGCGCTGTCTTTGGAATACTCCATCACAGTCGAAAACCATTAACGACTTTTTTCAAACGACGGAAGGATCCATTATGGAACAAAAAGACACCCGAATCAACTGAGTTTCTACAAGGAGCCAGGAAAAAGAAAAATGTCGGGGCGAATCTGCCGCAGTGGAGCTACTGGTTGTAACAAGGGGCTGTCAGGTCAGCTGACGTTCCTGGAGGAAGTGCTCGTTGACAGCTCGGAGTGTGCCCACTGCTCCGGATTTGGCAACTAGGAGAGGTGAGACCAGAACCCCAAACAGGGAACTTCTTCAAACTAAAACCCCCCAAAAGATGGCCTGGTCCCCTCCCTCAGCGGAAGCTTCTCAGCCAGTAATTTGAGCCCCAGCGTCTCCATTCGATTGGTTGTGTGAGCTCGGTTCAGCCCTCCCTCCCCAGCTTTGTATCGGAAACCTTCCTTAAAAGTATTTAGAACTACCCTGCAAAAACAGGGGAGTCTTCAGATAGACTTTTAGCCCAAAACAAACAAAAACAAAAAATGGGAGGTGGGGGGATGGGTGACAGTATCAGGTTGCTAAGCCGCATACATTTAAGCTTTGATTCGGTTGAAACCATAGGTAGTCGTTTCGGATCCCTGCTACAGTGGTCTTTTATAGCCTCTGCCTTCATCTTGTGCAGTCAATTAGTGGGCTGTGATTTTTATCTGCTGAAATGTTCCTAGACCATTTATTATATTACAAGCTTCTATTTCTTGATCATCATGTGCTTCATATTTGATGTTTGACTACTGACAATTGTCCTTCCAACAAGGTGGCAAGTAAATGGCAGAGTGAGAATCTGAGCTACCGCGTTTAGGATTGCAGTTACCACACTGCCTTCAACCCACACACAACCTTGTCTTAAATCTATGTGCACCGTGTCAGAGGCTGTGGTATTGATAAGACATAGCCCTTTACCTCAGGATGCTCACAGTCTGGTGAGGACAGGGTATCCATAAAGCTGGAGATGTAAATAGGGATTCAGTTCTGAGGGTTGTTTCCAGTTTGAGGGTTTGATGAATAAAGTGCAATGAATATTCTTCTGTTTTTGTGTGTATGTGCATCTTAAGTTATCTATGTCCCTTATGCTGACTATGAGAGTAAGTAAAAATTCACTTCTACAAAATCACAAAAACCTTATTAAAGGGAAATGTCAAAATGTAAAGTTGTTGCTTCTTGGCATATCCTCCACCTAGGTCTATGCACTTCTGAAGACAGTGTTTTTATCTCTCTTAACTCTTCCCCCCAAAACTCTTGTATCCTTGGGGATCTCAGACTGTGGTCCTTTGAAATGTTCTTTGAGTTTGGGAAACAAGAAGAAGTCTGAATGGACAAGATCAGGGCTGTAGGGTGGATGGTATAAAGTTTCACGATGAAATTTTCATAGGACAGTCCTTGCTACTGTTGAAGAATGTGCAGATGCATTTTCCTGGCTGGAAAAAATTCCTTGGTTCAACTTTCGTGACCTTTTTCTCACTAATGCAATTTTCAGTTTTCTTTAAAGTTCTTAATAATCCCCCTATCCCATGATGGTCTTATGTCCCTCAAAAAATTATATCAAGATTACTCCTTTGGAATCTCAGAAATGGTAACCATAACCTTTTGAATTGACCTCTCTGCCTTGGATTGACTGGCCCAGCAGATCCCCTCGGAAGTCACTGTTGGATTGGACCTTTTGTTTTGTCTGGTTTTGAAGACTCCCTAGCAGCACATTACTAAAAGAGCATGTCTGCAGCCATACGTTGATTGTATAGACATGTTTAAATAATATGTGTGCTTGTCTGAACTAGGACCCAAGTAGCAATATCTTTTGATTTACTCAGATTTGCAAATTTTATAGCACTATAACTTAAGTATACGTCCATATATATTTATGAGTCTTAGAAATGGTTCATATAAGTATATATAGAAATGGTATACCAAAAGACGCATGTAGACTTATGTTCTACACAAACTGTGTATTTCACAAATAACGCATTACAGTTTTTTTCAAACTGTGCAAGCCTTCATGCATTAGCTTCTTATGTGTATTCCATGTATGCTATTTATTTGGTTGCATTATATGCAAAAATATAGTATACAATTACATGCATCTTTTTTAATAGAAGAAACCCAGGTGGCAAATTGGGTTAAAAATTAGACTGCGAGCCACAAGGTCAGTGGTTCAAACCCAGCAGCTACTTTGTGGGAGAAAAATAAGGTTGTTTGTCCTCCTAAAGATAAATAGTCTTGGGAACCCAATGGAGCACTTCTACTCTGTGCGACGAGGTCACCAGAAGTCAAAGTAGACTCATTGGACATAGGGTTATATTTGGGTATATGTTATAAAAACCAAACCAAACTCAGTGCCATGTTAGTTGACTCCAACTCATAGCAACCCTCCAGGACGGAGTCACTGCCCTGTGGGTTTCCGAGACCGCAACTCTATGGGAGTAGACAGCCTCGTCTTTCTCCAGGGGTATATACTTGGGGTGGGGCAGTCTTCCAAAGTAGCTGTACCAATTTCCATTGCTTTACTTTTAATAAATGCTAGTTAATTAACTGTGTGGATGAAACTGTGGTAAAGTAAATTGTCTAAATTATTATATAATAACCTCCATGCAGATTTGACAAAATAGCCTGGACTTTAAAACAATCAAGCCAATAGCTTTCTCTTCCAACTCACCTCTGCTTCAAATCCTTTTGTCTGAGTTATTTTATAGTTCAGATGACCTCTTTTTAGAGAACAATATAGATAATTGCTTGTTCTTTGTTTTTTTTTCCAGCAAGGAACACAAAATTTTAAAATACCGTACAATCCAACAGCTATTAATTAGTACCTGAAATTATATGGCCAGTATACTGTCTGGCCCATGAAGTAAAACAAAAGTCCTTCTACCTGATAGAGACTTGTTCTATTGAGACATCAAGTGTCCCAAGTACCGTGATTCAGATAAGTGCAGTGTGATATGAGAGCTTGTAGTGAGGACCCAATCTAGTTTGTAGGGAATTTGGGGCGGCTTCTTGGAGAATATCCAAGCTGAGCCCTGAAGAGTCCATAGCTGTTAGCCAAGGAAAGAAGAGTAGTAAGAGTGCTGTAGGGGGAGGGAAAGACATTCAGAAAGGTTAGGAATGGAAAGAGGTTTGGTATCAGAAGAAATTGATGTCCCGAGTCTCACAAGGAAAAGCGTTGAGTGATGGAACTCCGTAGAAATGGTGCGGCAACAACAAAGCACCGTGGCTGTGCTTGTTTTGTTTGGTGGACTTAACATCATCTGCCACTGTTTTGTTAATTCCACAGAAATCCTGCCAAAGAAGATGAAGAAGTACAGAGGAAGGTTCAGCAACCGAGAGAGAGAATTTGTATATAAATTCAAAGTAGGAACTCAGTGCTTAGAATTGAAGGTACCACTCCAATTTCCTGTTGAAGAGGATGCCAGTCATTTGCATGGACGACTGATGTTGCTGCACAACTTACCGTGCTTTATCGAAAATGGTGAGGACAGACTTTTCATTTTGGTCCAACTTCACTGGCCTTTTTCTCACTAATGCAATTTTCAGCTTTCTTAAAATTTCTTCTTAATAAGCACCCGTCCCCCTGGGGCCGGTCCTATCTCCTTCAAAGAATAGATATCAAGATTACTCTTGCATTAGAGCTTCTAGAATGTTTCACCAGATTAGAAAGCATCAAGCCAAAGAACCATTAGAAACATCCATAAACTATGAAGTGTTTGTTTAGTTGCATGCCTGTAAGAATAAAAAAGTTTCCCTAGATATTTGTTTAATTGAAGGTCCCTCCCCCATGGCCTATGTGGCTAAGAAAGAGATGAACTGTAAACATTACATTATGTGATGAAAAATTAGCTACAACATCTTGATTAGAACACTTAACCTCTGATTTTAGTGGAGTGGATTCATAAGCCATTTAAAGTACCACTAATTGTGCTTTTAGGAACCCTGGCTGTGTAGTGGTTATGCGTTAGGTTGCTAATCACCTACTGCTCCTCGGGAAAGATGGAGCTTTCTGCTCCCAAAGAGAGTTGCAATCTTGGAAACTCACAAGGGCAGTTCTTCTCTGCCCATTAGGGGTGTGGTGAGTCAGTATCGATTCTGTGGTAGTGAGTTTGTTTGGGTTTTAGGACTTATATTGCTAAATTAGTTGCTTCTCTCAATGATCTGGCCATCAGTTCCAGAGATGTCATGCAAGAGAAGGAGAAATAAACTTTAAATATGCTTTTATTACCTAAATTCAATCCATAAAGTATCTATTTTATCATTTGTGTGTTTGTGTGTATGATTTTTAAGGTCTCTATTCTATCTCTTAGATATAGACAAAAAATAATTTTAAATGAAAATATGTTGGGTCATAAAAGGTTAGAATCACAAGGGAACCCAGAAATTCTCCTGCACAATCTCCCTGAACAGTGAGGAATCTGGTACTTAAAAGAGGTTCATCGCTTTGTTTAAGGCAGTGCTCTCAAAGGTGGCCTGATCTGCAGCAGAGTAACCTGTGAGCTGTCAGAAATGCACATTCTCAAATCCTCACCCATTTCTGCTGAATCAGAAAATCCGAGGGTAACACCAAGTTATCTGCTTTATCGTTAATGTCACATGAAAGTAAAGTAACTCAACAACAGCTACAGCAGTACATTGACAGGGAGCTGCCAGAAATTTAAGCCAGAGTCACAAGAGAACATAGAACCAGAGACATTGTAATTAGTGTCTGACACATCTTGGCTGAAAGCAGAGAATACCAGAAAGATGTTGGCTTGTGTTGTATTAACTATACAATGACATTAGACTGTGAATCATAAGAAACTATGGATAACACTGAGAAGAATAGAAATCCTAGAGCACTTAATGGTGCTCACGTGGAGCCTGTGCATAAACTAGGAGGCAATTATTTAAAAAGAACAAGGGAATGCTGTGCGGTTTAAAATCAGGAGAGCTGTATGTCATGGTTATATATTTTCACTATGCTTACCCAGTCTGTATGTAGAGCAAATAATCTGAGAAACCAGACGATGAAGCAGAGCATGGTATCAGGATCGGAGGGAAACTCCTTCACAGCCTGTAACCTATGGCTGACACAGCCTTGCTTCCTGAAAGCGAAGAGGGTTTGAAGCACTGATGAAGATCAGAGACTGCAACCTTTAACATGGGTGACATTTCAACATGAAGCAAAAGTCCTCACAACCGGCCCACGGCAACCACAAACAGGGAAGACACTGAACCTGTTTGAAGCTGTCAAGATGCCATTTCACTTGGATCCACAATCATTACCCACAGAAGCAGCAGTGGGGAAATCAAACGATGTACTGGGTCAGGCAGACCTTCTGGAAAAGACCTCTCTAAAGGGTTAAAAATGCACAGGTGTTACTCTGACAACTTAGGCCTTACTACTTCCTGTTGCCTCATATGCGTGGACGGCTAGACAATGAAGAAAGATTGCAGAAGAATTGATGCCTGTGAATGGTGGTGTTGGTAAAGAATAGTGACTATACCAAGGACTTCCAGAAGAATGAACAAATCTATCTTGGAAGAAGCACAGCTAGATACCCTGTAGAAGCAAAAGTGGCAAGAGTTTGCCTCAGTGCTTTGGAGATGTTATCTATCAGGAGAGACCAATCCTTGAGAACCTCATGCTTGGTGAAGGAAAGGATCAGCCCAGCTCTCAGCGGGATGGGTTGAGAGCACCTAACACAAGAACAGTAGCATCAACTTTATAAAACCTCTTGAGGGAGTCAGCTGTATCCTACAGATTGAGACCCACTGACCTACAGTCACAGCAGAGTGGCAGTTAGGCCAGAACACAGGTTTACTGACTTCTACCCCTGTGCCCTTTCCATTGTAGCAAATAATCAGTATTGTATTTAAAGTTTGATCATTTGAATTAAATCAGTAAGAATATGCCAGTCATTCGATTTCTTTTCTAAATTCAAAGAACATAACAAACTACTTATAGAAGTTATATGAGAAACTTTTTCATTTAAATCCAGGAACCTTCAGAGCCTAAAAATCTGTAGAAAGTTTTTTATTTTTTTAATGTGTGTATACATAATAATCTTCAAACTGAAGAACCAAGCATGAGAGTGTATTACTTAGTGTCCAATTTATACATAATATTAAGAATTTTGACATTTTCAAAATTATAATTATATTATTATAAGGAAGAATAATTGTAAAATAGATAAATCATCCCATAAGCCGAATCATTTTAAACTGGACATTCTACTAAGGTTTTAGACATGATACATTTTTACTCGAGAATGTGAAACTTAATAACATGAAATTTCCCATTAGCCAGGTAAATTGTTTCCACTTATGTCTGGGATTTGCTCATGATGGCATTTGTTTTTTTGCTTTCTTTTGCTTTTGTCTTTGCTTCAGATTTGAAAGAAGCCTTGAGCCAGTTCGTAGAAGAAGAATCCCTGAGAGACTATGATAGCGATGCGGAAGCATCACTTGAAGCTGTGAAATCAGGAGAAGTAGATCTACACCAGCTGGCAAGTACATGGGCCAAAGCTTATACGGAGGTAAGAAAATAGGTCCACTTGTACATTTCAAGCACATGCCAGACTTTGATGAAGATTTTTAAATCTCTAAAGTAATACAGAAATAATTGTAGAATTATTTTTCCTTTGTATAACAAAATTCATCCTATAATATAGACTACATGTTGCCACTTCTGTGATTCCTTCCTCTGTCAGGAACCACAAATATCACAAAATACTTTATTTAATCGCTTTGTTAAAAAAGGGGCTGTAGGGAAATAGATCTGTATGTTCATATATTTATAGGTTTAGTATTAAGACAGCAGATGGACATTGGGCCTCCACTCAAGTGCTTACATAATGCAAGAACATGTTGTAAAAGAAAAAAGAACACGCTGTTCTATTAAATTGGCATTCCATGATGCACACCTTCCCGACACAATTGCTGAAGAAAAATGTGTGCATAAGCAAATGTGGTGAAGAAAGCTGATGGTGCCCAGCTATCAAAATATATAGCATCTGGGGTCTTAAAGGCTTAAACAAGCGGCCAACTGGCTCAGAAGCAACCAAGTCCACATGGAAGAAGTGCACCAGCCTGTGCGATCACGAGCTGTCGAAGGGATCAGGTATCAGGCATCAAAGAACAAAAAATCTTATCATTGTAAATGTGGGTGAGTGCAGAGTAGAGACTCAAAGGCAACTGGACACCCCCTTACTGAAGGGTTGTGGGGAGAAGATGAGCCAGTCAGGGTGCAGGGTAGCAACGATGAAACATATAACTTTCCTCTAGTTCTTAAATGCTCCCCCTCTCCCCCAATATCATGATCCCAATTTTACCTTACAAATCTGGCTAGACCAGAAGATGTATGTACATTGGTACAGATAGCAACTGGAAACACAGGGAATCCAGGACAAATGACTCCTTCAGGACCAGTGGTGAGAGTGGCAATGCCTGGAGGGTGGAGGGAATGTGGGGTGGAAAGGGGGAACCGATAACAAGAATATATGTATAGCCTCCTCCCTGGGGGATGGACAGCAAAGAAGAGGGTGGGGGGAGACATCCGGACAGTGTAATATATGACAAAATAATAATAATTTATGAATTATGAAGGGCTCATGAGGGAGGGGGTAGGGGGAAGGAGGGGGAAAAATGAGCAGCCGATATTAGGGGCTCAAGTAGAAGGCAAATGTTTTGAGAATGATGATGGCAACAAATGTACATATGTGCTTGACACAATGGATGTATGTATGGATTGTGATAGGAATTGTACAAGCCCCCAATAAAATGATTTTTTTTAAAAAGAGGCTGTTTTCATACTTAGAACCAGCCTAAGGATGCCAGATTTAGCTAATAAAAACAAAAATACAGGCAACCTAATGAAAGTAGAATTTCAGACAAAGAATAATTTTTAGTAGAAGCAAGTAAGTAGCTATATGAAAACTTTGTTGTTTATCTGACTTTCTAACTTAACTATATGCCCTGTATTTTCTCTGGCAACCGTAAATCAGCAGTAGTGCTTTATTTTAAGATGAGCTCTATTTTGTGCTCTGATTTGCCTTTATGGTCGTACAGTTACATAGCACTATCTTTTTTTCATGTATATGATACACGTTCATAAAGTCTGAGATGCCATCGAAAGCCTGTTGGCACAACGGTTAAGTGCTTGGCTGCTAACTGCAAGGCGGCTGGGTGAACTCCCCGACGCCAATGGCTCCGAGGACGCAGACCGGTGCTCGGAGGTCTTTTCTAGGTTGTCATCTAGGAGACCCGGTGGACAGCGCTCCCCCGTTGTATAGGGTGGACTCAGTGGCACCTAACAACAAGGTGACAGGGCGTGTGGCGCACTATTATTGTACTTAGTCCCAAGGAACAACAATGCCACCAATTGTACTTTGAGTGTTACAGAATAGTAGAATGCCAGCAAGTATAAAATGCATGGTCATTTCTGAGACTGGTGAAAAATAAAGTGTGCATCTGGTGAGAGAGAATTTATGCCAGGTATGTACTGTATGCCAGGTATAGTAGGTGTTGGAGGTGAAATAGTGAACAAGACCATGGACACAGAATGGAAAGCCAGAGACACAACTATATCGACAGACAAATAAATGAATAATTTCAAACTGTCATGAGTGAATTACATCCTACTCTAAGAAAATTCAGTCTGTGAGAATGTGAAAGAACCCAGCTTTATTTCAAATGTTTCAGTTTGCTCAAATTTTCCATTGTTGCCCAGCCCAGAAAGGCATCACAGTTCATCCAAAACATGACTGTGTTCATTGAGTTGTACATGGAAATGGGTGGATTTTAGTAGGAAATTTGTATCACAATAAAATCATTTTTCTTTTTAAAAAGACAGTAATTGTATAAGTTAACTGGAATGTGGAAAACACTGCATTAAAATATATTTCTAATAATTAACTTTAAAAAAAAACAAAAAACTAGGCTTTCTGCGGAATACAGTATAAAGTGTATTAAAATAATAATTCTGCTTAATTCAATCAAATTTTTTGTGCTCAAATGGGCGTAGTACACAGCTAAGAATAACTCTCTAGCCTCAGGGAGCTCACATCTAGCAGGCAGAGACAGTGAGGTATACAGACTGTTAGCACACAGAGCGATCTCACTGTTTTATTAGAGAGATGTGTACTGTGGGACGACATCGAGAAGGGAGGGAAATCAGGATGGAGCAAGGAAGGCTTCTTGAAAACGGCATCTCCTCCCCTGGGATTTTCTCTTCTTCTGCCAGAAGATCTGAAAGCAAACCTCTCCATCCCTGATTTTGTGGAACCAAAGTGAACACTTCCCTCAAGTTAGTTTACTACGTTTTTACTCTTTTTTAAAATTTCAATGTTAAAAAGCAATTAGAATATTTCTAGAACATCTGGCTTTACTTTCTCTTGTGTTATTTAGCTGTTCTAAAAAATTAGTTGACAACATTTTAGATAAGTTATATTAACAACAAAAATAGTAGCAGCATAGCAGAATAATACTTCTTTGTACGTAGTGACTCAGGTACACTGGAGTACTGATTTTCAGTAAAAATACCTGTTGACCAAGTACTCCGCTTGTCCTATGCACACACAGTAGATACAGAAGAATTTTCGTAGCATCTCTTGTTATGTCGAATTTAGCTTTTTGGTTATTTAGGATTGTAGAACCATCGTAAACTGTTGATTTTTAAAGTAGCAAGGAAAGAAAGCAAAGGATCTACCTCTAAGAGCAAAAGAGGAAATATTAACAAAATAACGAATAAAGTCTAAATATTATATCCATAAAACTTGATTCAGCTTTCACTGGCTGTGAAATCCAAATAGCCCGGGACAAGTAAAGGAGCCAGAGTTGAAAAGGGAAGAACAGACACAGAAGAGGGAACTCTGCTGCCGATGGAAAGGGCCAGCAGAGGTCAGAGGCTGTAGCATGATGGAGGTTAGGACCCAGTGTCACCGCCCCCCAACCATAAAATTATGTTCGTTGCTACTTCACTGTAATTTTGCTACTGTTATGAATCGTGCAACCACTGTGAACGGGTCATCCAACCCCCAAAGAGTGTTGTAGAAGCCAGGTGGGGTCCTAGGTGACAGAGAAGGGGCATCTCATGGTTATCTAGAGGTGTTATAAATGAAATGCCATAAGTGGGTGACTTTACAAACAAAATTTTATTTTCTCAGAGTTTAGGTAGCAAGAAATTTGGATCCAGGGTGCCCGCTTTAGAGGAACACTTTTTTATTATGTTGGCCTTCTCTAAGCTTCTGTTCCTGGTGATCTTCATGTGAATTGGCATCACTCTTCTTCCATCTCTGCTTCTCTCACTTGCTTGTTTAATATATACTGAGATAGGGAAAGATACTGACTCAAGACACACCTTATACCAGCGGCTCTCAACCTGTGGGTCTCAACCTCTTTGGGGGTTGGATGACCCGTTCACAGCGGTTGCACGATTCATAACAGTAGCAAAATTACAGTGAAGTAGCAACAAAAATAATTTTATGGTTGGGGAGTCACCACCACATAAGGAAATGTATTAAAGGGTCACAGCATTAGGAAGGTTGAGAACCACTGCCCTATACTAATCCTGTCTCATTAGCACAATAAGACAAAATGCTTTCCCAAGTATAACCGTAGGCTTAGAGGGTAAGAGTCACAACACATATTTGGGGGTAGTACAGTCCAGTCTATGACAGGCATTAAAGCATCTCTCCAAACCCACTGACCTTATATAGTGTTTCTGAAACTGTAAGTATGCATGGGAACAGACAGCCTCATCTTTCTCTGTGGAGAAAGAGTTTTCTAGGTAGAGGGCCACATGTAAAGGCCTGGAAGTAAGCAAGCCCGTGGCACACTATGAAAACAGAGTCCCGTTCAGAATGGCTGGAGAAACGTTTTATCAGCCATGTTGAGTTTTGCCTTTCTGCTAAGGGCAGTGGGTAGGTGTTGAAGGAGTTTAAGCAGGGAACCACACATGCATTCCAGAAACATCAGTGTGCTCGAGGGAAGAAAGGCATAAAAGAGGGCAAAGACTATTACAGTTAGGGGGAAGAAATAATACAAGTTTAGACTAACTTGGGCAAACTCAAAATTCACTCCCATTGAGTAGATTCTGACTCATAGTGACCTGACCCTGTAGGAAAGTTGAATTGTCCTGTGGGTTTCCAAGCCTTTGAAGTATTACAGGAACAGACAGGTTCATCTTTCTCCTTCAGAGTGGCTGGTGGATTTGAACTTCTGGCCTGGGGGTTAGCAGCCAAACCAGGTAACCCCCTATATGACCTCTCATCATACTATCAGGATTCCCTGTGCCATCGTGGCGATAAAAAGAAGACAATGGTTATTTTTCATTCATGTATTTCATTTAGTTAACAAATACTATGTGTGGGTTTTGTGCAAGACAATAGGAATATATTAATAATTTAATTCTAGTTTAAATCTTATGCATTGAGCAGTTTCTTGTGATATTATGAGTGGATGACTGATGTAGAATAAAGAATTTATTGAAGATAAGGGGGTTCAGGCAATTGATGCCTTAAGACATTGATTGGGTTACTGATGTGGACATGAAAATGAAACAGGATAATGACAGGACTTGGTACCAAAGCTTTCTATGAATGAGGGTGACTTGACAGGCAGGTTCTTGAATAAAGGTGGCCATGGGAGACACGGGAAGCCCGTGGTTAAAGCAACAAGCAGGGCTTTGTGCCTGAAGGTGGTGAGGAAATAAGAGCTTAGATACTGACTAGCTTTCTCTTTCCACTCCTTTCCTCGGTATCCCAGTGTTCTTAGCTGTCACAACCCCCTTTTTCATTACATCTCTTGGGAGAATGACAGGAGTTTCAGGTAAACGGCTTCATTTCTCATACAGGTAGCATCTATCAGGGCTTAATTTAAGCAGATTTAAAATCGGAGCTGAAAAGTGTTGGAGACAGGCTCTCTGGTTAGTGGAGTTACAGACTGCCCATAGAGGAGTGGGTAGGTTATCAAGAGCAGGGGTCAGCCAACTTGCGACGGAAGACCCAATCCTGTCCCTCACAACAATTGAAAACTTGTTCTAGAGCCATAATATATTTTTACAAACAAATGAAGTCACCACTATGTGAATAATATCCTTTAAAGGTTTATTTTCATTTTACTTCAGAAACACTTATGCACTGTACTGAAAGAGGAGCGTGTGGTACATGCTGACCCAGTGGTCTAGAGTTACATGAAGCCAAAGAGATCTCTAAGCTCCTGCACTGGCTCCTTGCTGCCAAGTCTCAGCCCAAACCTGAAGTTAATCTGAACAGAAGTTAAGTTGCATGGGCTTATTCTAATTCCTGGAGCAGCACCAGATCCAATGTTGTGGTGCACTTAACAGAAAGGCGTCACGTGTCCAGTGACCTTGAGTAGCTGAGACCCCAGTTCTTGCCTCACCTAGTCTTTTGAAAGGCCTCCATCCTGACCTGAGGAGCACTGGGGATTTATCATTGAAAGAGAACGAGAGGAAAAGTTCACCTGTTGAAGGACTGAGTTCAAAATTGCCTTGAGTTATGAGGTTGTGTGTGTGTGTGTGTTGTTATTAAATCAGTGATGTCAAAGGTCCCGTTTTTTTAAGCTTCCCTTGGTAAGAAACATGAAGAATAGATAGTTTTCAATCCATAATGGGAAAAACATTGAACGTCAATACAAGCCTTTGGTTTATTTTCACTTCTGCTATTAAATTGTATGATCCTTAGTACGAGATTTCCCAGCATATGTTGTTTTTAATCTGCACTAGCACTGGTAGGTGGCGGCCGCGGTCCTTGGACAGGCATCTTTACTTGTGTGAACTGAGGGCCTCCCAGGTTTTGTCTGGATCTGCGTTTCCAGTTTTCTTGCTCACCGGTTCTTGTACTCCTAGCATTTTGACAGCTACTGTTCACATACACTTTTTAAAAGCTTACCATTCAAGAAAAGCAGAATGCTAGAAACGATTACAATCAGGAAATTGCACAACTGCTAACCTAAAGAAAGGTTGGCAATTTGCAACCCCTGGCAGGATTGCAGAACAAAGGGGCTGGCCATTTGCACCAGAGTCGGGGTAGCACCGCACATGACCACGTAAGTGGACCTCATTTCTGAACATCACCTATGAAATATTTCTAGCAGTGTTTTTTAATAACGAAAAAGGGTTTTGTTTGGTTGTTTTTTGTTTTGTTTTTTTTTTGCTTCCTGATTCTTCATTCACCTGCCCTGAAAGACCAACCGTCAGCATTTGGTCAATGTGTGTGTGTGTGTGTGTGTGTGTGTGTGTGTGTGTGTGTGTGTGTAAATTTCACCTTCAGCCCTGCATTTGGTCAATCATTCCATGTGTGTGTGAAAATTTCACCTTCAGCCCTGCCCCAGAAATAACTCATGGTAACAACTTAGGTGATATATTTCCATATGTTTAATGTGCTCGTGTAACCCTGTGCAACACATATATGAGCACATGTATACAGGTGGGCTTCAAAAAGTTTGTGGGAAAACTCCCATTATCTTTTCATTGTACTTTCCACAATCTTTTTTGCAGCCCCCTCATATATAGGGTCTTTGTGTCCATGCCTGATCATGACATGCATACTTTTCTAGTGGTGTGTTAAATTCAGATAACTGAATTACAAGGCTGCTTGTGTATGTTTTAGACTACATTAGAGCACGCAAGGCCGGAAGAGCCCAGCTGGGATGAAGACTTTGCAGATGTGTACCATGACCTGATCCATTCTCCCGCCTCTGAGACGCTCCTCAATTTGGAACATAATTACTTCGTTAGTATCTCAGAACTGATTGGTGAAAGAGATGTGGAGCTGAAAAAATTACGAGAGAGGTATTCCAGATTTCTTGTCAAATCGTCATTAAATGCTACAGTGTCAAATATGATGGCCTGCAGAGCAATTTGTTTTCGCTTGTGGTAAAAGTTAGTAATAAAATGGAAACACCTTCAATATCAATCATGACTTTTATTGTTTAAGCGTGTAATTTCAACCGAGTGTCATCATCTCACTACTGCCATCCAGTCAGTTTCGAAAAAGCCCTGGTGGCACAGTAGGCTACTCACTGACCTGCTGACCACAAGATCAGTGGCTCAAACTCACCAACTGCTCCGTGTGAGAAAGATGAGGTTGTCTATTCCTGTGAAGATTTACAGTCTCAGGAACCGAAAGAAACAATTCAAGTCTGCCCTATAGCTTTGCTGAGCATCAAATTTATAGACTTCCAAAAATGACTTTTTTCTAGAATAAATTACCATATATGTATACTCGCGTATAAGCCTAGTTTTTTTAGCACATTTTTAATGCAGTTTCTGTGGTACAATTAGGTGCCTCGGCAGATAGTTGGGTCAGCTTATACTTGAGTATATACTGTGAGCTTTGTCTCCCCTTGTGGAAGGAAGTGTTTCTCTAAGTCTTCAGAGTCACATCAAAATTGCCAAGGTTAGCCTTAACTTATTAAGCCAATCTATATTTAATATTTTGCATGAAATATGGTAAAAGTTCCTTGCATCATAATAATAGAAAAATATGTGTTATTATTTACGGTGTAATTAACTTGCATTTCTGATACATTCAACAAAGCCAAACTCCGTGCCATGGAGTTGATGCTGACTCACAGGGACTCTCTGGGGCAGGGTGGAACCCCCCTCTGAGTACCGAGTATAAGGCGTTACATAATACATGAGGGTGAAATGAATGTTTATGAAATGTTATTTATCAAATTCCTATTTATTGAAGGTGTTTGTTTTTGTTTTTCACTCCCCTCACTGGGAAATTTGCCCTTTTTTTGAGCAAACCAGATTCAAGAGAATCCTTTAAGCTTTAAAAATGGCAATGATATCTTCTATCCTCTAAAGGGCACGTGTGTAAAATGTAAATGATAATCCATGTTTACATCTAAATTTGCAGTTATGCTGTTTAGCAGCTCTCCGGTTTCTAAATGAGAATGGCACTTGCCAGCGTAATCTTCCGCTGAGCTGCAGTAGATGTCCCACAGGGGATCACCTGCACAGAACTAGTAGGGCTAAGCAGTACTGTCCATGTCACGCCAGATGGGATAAGCCTGCGGGAGTGCGTTTCATTCGTCGCATACCTTTAGGTATCTTCGTCAATTCTTACAAATAAATGCAATTTTATTTGAAGAGAAAATTGCTGAAATCCACTAGACCAGTCATAAATCCCCCTTGAGTTCCTCCGTGCTTTGCTCGTTCCCAGTTTGTTTGAACTATGCAGAAGAGCACGTTTTTACCAGTATTGCTATTAGAGGATCATTTTGTAATGTGAACATTTTAAATGAACTTGTTTAAACAGAGCACACAGCAGAAAGGGAACAAGCGATAGGTATATATAGCTGCAGACATCGGTACAGAGTGAGCACAGCCTTGTCACTGTCACGCAGGCCCAATATTAGAATAGCCCCAGCCCTGGGCAGGGCTCCCTCCTGTGCTCCTCGCCACTACCCCGTTCCTCCCAGAAATGACCGTTACCCAAGCTTCTGACTCCACAGATTCGTTTTTCCAGGAGTGAGAGCCATTTTTAACTTGTACACGTGCTTTCTTGGGATAAATGAAGAAGATAAAACTCACACTCACATATCTTCAGAGTGTATTTTTGCATTCCCCCGTAAAAGGAGCTCTGGGACTTCATCTATTTTTTCTTAGACCTGATGGGCAGCTTCTGGTTATCACACACGCTTTAGTTCACGTCAAAAGAAATAGAAAATGTTTTTGATTGGGCATTAGAGAATACCTTCTTTGAGGAACTCTGCCGATGCAAAGGGGCCTGGTATTTCATGATATTTTCATGACTGTCATGTGTGCACTGAGTTCATTTCACACTCGCCTGCACAGATGACGTTGCTCTGTGGTGAGGCACCAGCACCCTTAGTTTCATATCTCCATTTCCAAGATTCAAAGTGCCTGCCAGGTGTTGGGACCCCCGCTCTTGGGTATATCTCCAGCGAAGACTTTATTTCCCTCTGTGGAGTCCCTCCCTATGCAGTGCACTGGGCTAAGCACTCAGAAGCAGGAAAGGTTTGATGGCTTGAACCCACCTAGAGCAGTGGTTCTCAACCTTCTGAATGCCACAGCCCTTTCATACAGTTCCTCATGTTGTGGTGTCACCCCCCCCCCAACCATAAAAGTATTCATTGCTACTTCATCACTGTAATTTTGCTACTGTTATAAATCAGGCAATCCCTGTGAAAGGGTCCTTTCACCCCCAAAGGGGTTGCGACCCACAGGTTGAGAACCGCTGACCTAGAGCATCTCAGGAGCCAGGTCTGGTGATCTGCTTCTGAAAGCTTGCAGCTTTGAAAGCCCTCAGAGCCATTCTACTCGGCACACACAGGCCACCCTAAGTGGGAGCCAACCCGGCAACTACCAACAACAAAACGGACTGTTCAGTGAAGCTGAAGTGGCCATATATGTGCCTTAAACGTTTGCGTATATAAGTTCTATTGATTTATCTTTTAGACAGGGTATTGAAATGGAAAAGGTGATGCAAGAATTAGGAAAATCATTGACAGATCAAGATGTCAACTCTCTGGCAGCTCAGCACTTTGAATGCCAACAAGTAAGTGGCAAGCATCGGCTCTCAGCTATGCTGCTTACTTCCTGCAGCGCACTCACCTGGGGGGTTGTTTCAAAACACAAAACCACAACCTAACCAGTTGGTGCACTGTCTACTTACAGGACTTAGAGAATAAGTGGACAAGTGAACTGAAACAATCAACTGCCATCCAAAAGCAAGAGTATCAGGAATGGGTGATAAAACTGCACCGAGACCTAAAAAACCCCAACAACAGCCCCCTCAGGTATGAACCATGAACTGCCCAGATTTTACAAAAGTTTGTACGTATTACAGATTACACCTTTCTGATGGGATTGTGAAGTTGATGAGAATTCAGGATGATTTTATACTTCTTTCACAACTCTTACTCCTTTTGTGTGAATTATCTGGGGAGATAAGGCTTGATTTGTTTGGGTTTCAATAGTGATTTCCCCATAGAACTTAGCTTTACAAATCTTTTTAGAGGCATATATAAATACAGAGCCCTGGTGGCACTGTCAGGTAAGCATTGAACTTCTAACTACAAGGTCAGGGTTTCAAAATCACCAACTACTTCATAGGAGAAGAATGAGGATATTTGCTCCCTTAAAACGTATAGCCTTAGGAACACATTATAGGATTTTTGGATTTTATATCTAAGTACACTGAAGACTCTTACTTCTTCAAATTGACTTCTGTCCAATACAGCAAACATCATTTGGGTTTCTGCTAAATGCCAACCAGTAAGCAGAGAAACAACAAGATATTTGACCTCATTGAACTTAACATTCTAAAAGAGAGACTAACTTATAATGAGAAGAACACTATGTAGAATGCTATGTGTATCAATAACCTTGTGTGTCAGGTACAGAGAGAGTATGCAGGACTTTTGTAATTCACAGCACATATGACAGTGTCTGTCCTAAATGGGTTTCTCATGTTGCCCTGTTTTCCCAGAGCCGACAGTGCCTGTGTCATATCCCAGTTATACACTCTGATATTTGAGAATTCATTTATTCTTTCAAATCCTAAACTGTATTCAATTGGAAATATCCTGAGTATCGTCTGATGACCCTATTTCCAGAATTTGCTGGCACATACTCTCAACATTTAGAAATAACACTTCGTGGACCATCAGTCTCTCGCACTTGTCTTAAGGACAAGATTCGTGTCTTTGGATCCACTGTTGCCACATCTTGCTGAGTGCTCAGCTCTTGGTCTGGTCCAGGAGATCTGCTCAGTGAGTAAAGGGTTTTCCATTCCCACCAACAATGTCTGAGGGGTCCAGATGCTTCGCATGCTTGTGCACACGTGGTGTGTTGGTATTTAGCCATTCCAGTAGGCTTTGCATTTCCCTGATGGCTAATGATGTTGAACTTTTTGCATGCCTGATTTTCTGTCCATATCTCCTTTGTGTTTTCTTGTTATTGACTTACAAAAGTTCTTTATATATTCTTAATACAAGTCCATTATCAGATATGTGTTTTACAAATATTTTCTCTCACCCTGTAACTTGTCTTTTCATTTGCTTAAGTGTCTTTTGAACACAGAGCTTTTGGTTTTATTTAAGTATAGCTTGCCAATTTTTTTTACCTAAATATCTAAAATATCTTTGTCTAACACAGGATATAATGATTTCCTCCTGTGTGTTCTAGAAGTTCTATCGTTTTGTGTTTATGGCTAAATTTCTGGACTCTCTATTCAGTTCCATTGATTTTTATATGTATCCGTAAGTCAATGATGTCTTGATTGTTTTAGTGTCATCTTGAAATCAAATTGTGTGAGCCCCCGACTTTGTTTTTCATTTTCAAAAGCGTTTTTTTCATACACCCTCTGATTTTTATATTAATGTAGAATCAGCTGATCAATATCTAAAATTTAATAAAAGCCTGTTGTTTTTATTTAGATTATATTGACTCTATAGATCAATCTGGAGGAAATTGAAATCTTAATAATATTTACTCTTCCAATCCATGAATATGGTATATATCTCTATTTAAGTCTTTTAAGATATTTATCTTCAATATTTTATATTATTTAGCATACATGTGGTACATAGATCTTGTGAGATATATATAGTATATACTCGTGTATAAGCCGGGTTTTTAATGTAGTTTCTGTGGTAAAATTAGGTGCTTCAGCTGATCTTCGGGTCAGCTTATACTCGAGTATGTATGGTACTTAGGTATTTAATTGGTGGGGGGGATCCTCTTGTAAACGGTACTGTGATCTTAATTTCGGTTTCCAGTTGCTCATTGCTAGTATGCAGGAAAGAGCACTGGGGGCGTGCTGGTTGATTGCTCAGCTGCTAATGGAAAGGGCAGTGGCTCAAACCCACTGGCACCTTCACAGAGGAAAAGACGTAGCAATCTGCTTCCATAAAACTTAGAGTTAGAGAACTCCGCAGGGCAGTTCTGCTCTGTCATGTAGGGTCACTAGGCCTCAGAATCATCTTGATGATACACAACACGATCTAGGCAAATAGTAGATGTATATCTATCGCCTGTATTCCCTGCATCCTTACTAAACTCACTTATTCCAGTAACTATTTTTTGTAGCTTCCTGGGAATTTTCACCTAGACAATTACTTCCCCTTGTGAAGTTTTCTTTCTTTCCAGTTTGTGTACCTGTTATTTCTTTTTCTTGCCTAATTTTACTGGCTAGTAAAACAATGTACCACTTCACACACATCTGGTTGGCTCATTACAAGTGGTCCCTCTGTGGCTGGGCCTCAGGCCTGGGCTATTTCTCTATTTCTCTGCCTCCTGCTTTTGTATCAGACAGAGCCCTGCTGGTACCTGTGTTCTTGAGTGGGAGAGGCTTCTCTGACTACTGCAACAGCAGCAGAGCACTGCTTGATAATACTGGGGCGGGATTTTAGCCCAAGGAGCCTTGCTCCCTCCCCACATGGGCAGAGGGTTTCCATTTGTACCCCTCCCCAGCAGCATTGTATCCTTGCCTATGTCTTTGGGGTAGAAGAGTAGGCAGAGTTTGCTCCTAATTCTCCCTTAGAATTGATGGGTCTGTGTCTAGGTTCTTGGGAACAGGTTTATTTTCTCTCCTCCAGAGACAAACAAAAGCTTCTCATGAAATAAGGATTCAGGGAAGTGGAACAGAACAGTGGTTCAAATCCACATTTCATGGTATGCCAAAGGTAATATCAGTCTACAATAGTCATCCACATTGTTGACGTTAAATTTTCATGCTGTCCCCCTAGCAGCAGCTGATCACCTGATCAGCTCCTGCGTACTTTTGCCTCCTGGTAGAGCTCCCCCACCACCTGTGCCACACCCAGTCTAGTTGATGAGTAACACCCCATGCAGAGGCTCCCAGCTCTTCTACATTGACCTGCTAGCCCATACTTGTTCTCCAAGAACTTTAGTTGACTTCTTCATAATCCTTTCTGTGACGGCCATCTGTTTCTTCCATGCTCTGCCCAAAATGAAGCTGTTCCTGTGATCTGCATCTCTTTAGAGCAGTGGTTCCCAACCTGGGGGTTGCGACCCCTTTGGGGGTTGAACGGCCCTTTCACAGGGGTTGCCCAATTCATAACAGTAGCAAAATGACAGTGATGAAGTAGCAACGAAAATACTTTTTGGTGGGGGTCACCACCACCTGAGGAACTGTATGAAAGCGTCGAGGCATGAGGAAGGGTGAGAAGCGCTGCCCTAGAGGGACTTTTGACTCTTTGGAATTCAGTTCAGATCTCTACTAGGTTCAAGGAAAGTTAGGATTTTGTACATTATGTGACTTTTCTTTCAGTTATGGTAGAAAGGACATTCACCTGCAGCTTTCTACATCTTAAAATGAAAAGTTTTTAATTATTATGCATTTTATTTTTCACCATAAATTTACTATATTTACTAATGAAGACAATTAGTGAGCCTAATGAGCCGGCCTAGACTAACCCTCCAGATTTAAAGTCAAGATGTGAATGATTATTATAGACTGATATTACCTTTGGTATACCATGAAATTAGAATTTGAATCGCTGTACAGCGAGCAATCTCAGTGGAAACCTTTTCAGGGAAGACAAGAGCAGACCAGCCCAGAGATATTCTTTCATGAGAGCAGGCTGCTGGGAGGAAGGTGAGGGAAAGGAGTGATAAAACAGGAACTTCAGCATGTTTTAAAGTTTTATTTACCTTCCTTTTTGTTTGTTTGTCAGTTTAATTGACATGTAATGCACATGGCATACAATTCAGTGGTTTAGATATATTAAAAAGAGTTGTGAAATCATTACCACAACCAGTTTCAAAACTTTTCCTTCATTCCCACACCCATTATCACTAGCTTCCCTCTTCTTCCCAATCGCCCCAGCCACAACTCCACGGAACCATTAATCTAGTCACTATCTTTATGAGTGATCTAACCTGGATTTAATATAAAGAAGATACTACCAAAAAATGACAACAAAATATAACAGAAAAATCTCAACCCAAAAGAATGTGGAAGATAATAGAAACTAGAGCAAATTTTACATGGTCAGAAGGACCATGGAGCAGAGATGTGAACAGCCTTGCTAAGATGCAGAATGCACTGGGAAGTGGATTGTTGCAGATGCAGTTCGTCTAAAATTCACCACCCTGTCATTTGATTTTCCTTATGATCCATTTAAATTGTTCTCATTTTTAATATTTTCCACTTTATTTTTTATTGAGATTTGTTTCTATTTTTCTTTGTTATTCTTGTTAGTTTTAGTTATTGCTTATTTGTTTTTAATGTTTTTCTAGATATGAAATGTAGGCTAGGTCAATCTATATTGACATTAACTGGATTAATGGTTTCTTGAGGTTAGGGGGAAGGTTAGGGGGAAGTGGGAAGGTTAGGGGGAAGTGGGAAGCCAACAACAATGAATACAAGATTGAGCAAAATGTGCTAAAACTGATTGTGGCAGTGATTATAAAACCCCTCTTGATGTGATTGAACTATTGAATTGTATTATATGTGAATTATATGCCAAAAATACTGTTGGGAAAAAATGGGTCAGAAGAGAAAACAAATGATAACATATTAAATTTTAATCTAATTGCAACCTCACTAACCCACCCTGCAATGCCCTTTGAAGGCATGACTATTCGTATACTTGGTCAATCGTTATGGCAGTTTTTGGAGACTTGATCCATATGGGGCCACTGCCAATGGATTTTCAACTCATCACAACTCTTATCACAATCCATACATACATCAATTGTGTAAAGCACATTTGTGCACTCTTTGCCCTCATTATTTACCTTCTTAAAAAGTTTTCATCGTGTCCTTTCACCTATTGTCTAGTTTTTGACTTGGCATAGCATCTATTACCTGTTTGAAACTGTAGTATCATTTGAAAGTATTAGGTTTGTCATTTCATTAATCATTCTCAGGCCATGAGCAACATTAAATGGCAATACATGAATTGCTGTTATAGTGGCTGAAAAGAGTAGTCTGCGTTACTTACCTGAGGAAAGGGGTAGACGTGGGGTCTGGAGCCTGCTGGCGCGTGTGATCTTGTCACCTGGATTAAGGGCCCTTTGAGGACTACATAAGCCCCCCTTTCAGCTGTTGCTTTTTCTCTCATTTTACCACGAAGTTTCTTTCCTTTAAGAAAAGTTTCTTGAAAAGCATACAAATAATGCATCTCAATAACTATTCATTTTAGTGAAGAAATTAAAGTTCAGCCAAGTCAGTTCAGAGAATCTGTGGAAGCAAATGGGAGGATTTATGAGGAACAGAGAAAATTAGAAGAAAGTTTTACCATTCACTTAGGTAAGTATTAACTTTGCTTTACTGTACTGTGTGGAACATGTTGTGTGTGTTCTGTAAGAGCAAGAGCTCTAACACAGGAAGAGTTTTCTCTTGATGCCCCAGGGCCTTGAGAACTCCCAATTATGCCCCATTCCAAGAAAGCCTTTAGGCTGCTGGCCATCCGCTGCCTGTTTCAGCTGAATTATCTTCTGCAAATAGAAGGGTTAAACAGTAATAAAATGTGAAATTGCACGACCCACTTTTAATTATTTGTAGCACAGTATTCTGGATTCTCCTATAGAGATTACCATCTTGTTTGACTGGCCTTTTGCAGCTGTCTAAGTATCTTTCTGGGGCTGTTCCCCACCTCCAGGAGCCCAGTTGAAGACCATGCATAATTTGAGATTGCTGAGAGCGGATATGCTGGACTTCTGTAAGCATAAACGAAATCATCGAAATGGTGTGAAACTCCATCGGCTCCAAACAGCACTGTCACTTTACTCCACGTCTCTCTGTGGCCTAGTTTTACTAGTAGATAATCGAATCAATTCATACAGTGGGATTAAAAGAGGTAAGGTAACAACATCCATATTCATTTCATTAAACTCCCCCTCCTTAATACCAGTTTTACAAAGAAATGAATTATAGGAACATTGAGATAGTTCGTTTATTGTGCCAGCCTGGCCGATAAACACAAGTGGGATTAATTGGAAGGTTGGAGAGATAAATGGCTCGGTTAGCCTCGCCTTTCTTGTCTCTCGTTCTTTGATCATTGGACCAGTGTGCGGCTGCCTTGCTTGTTCTGTGCCTCAATTTACAGGCTACACTACCTGTAGGACGCCTAGCCTGTGGACTGTGTTGCTGTAAGTCGGGGTCCCTTTAAGATCACACGATTGAAATTTACATCTCTGACGCTGAGGACTGACAGTTGGTGACCTGGCTGACAGTTGGTGACCTGCTGGCTGTTTTGCTGCCTGCGCTGGGATAGCCTAGCTCTCTCTCTAGAGGATTACCGGTCGGCCCTCAAGACTTAAAGGACTGCTAGTGTCTCACAACTCTCTCTCACGGGAGTGAGTTGCACTGAGCCATTTGTACTGCTTTATAATTTAACTGTTCATTTCTTGTATTATATATATATATATATATGTTTATAATTTAACAGTTCATTACTTGTGTTATATATCTATCTGTTTATAATTTAACAGTTCATTTCTTGTGTTATATATATTTATCTTTATAAATATATATATATATAATTATCAGCAATCTGGTTTTATCTCTCTAGAGAACCCTGTCTAACAAACATTTAAAAATGCATTAATCACATCAATCTTCAAGGAGATCAAATAACATGCTCTAGTAGATTTCATATTTTAGCATTTGTAGAGTGCTTCATGATACTGTTTTTCTTAAAATTCTACTATTTTTATGAATGATGCTCTTAAAGAACCCTTGTTCCAAGATGGACCAAAAAGAATACATAGAATAAATGTATTTTTTCATCTTAGAAGCTTCTGAACCAGTGACTTTTACTTCATCCATTTTGCTCTTAATTTTTTTTAAACGATCTACCTCTTAAATATGCTGAGTAAAATTCTACCTTTCCTCCTCTCACAGCTCACTTTTTATGATAATTTTAAATATCTGAAGATATGTTATATGTAGCTGTTTTTAGGAAATTTGAATCGTTTATTTCCTATCATAAATATTAGAACCTTGCAATATTTTTAGTACTTTTTGGGACCAAATTATGGTCAAAGTATCAATTATTTAAAGAAGAATTGAGATTATATTAGCATTTCCTTATCTATTAATAGGAGCCCTGGTGGTGCCATGGTTAGGTGTTGGGTTGTAAACCACATAGTTGGCAGTTTGAAACCACCAGCAGCTCCTTGAGAGACAGACTGGGCTTTCTACTCCCATAAACAGTTGCAGTCTCTGAAACCTACAGGGGGTCACTTTGAGTCAGCATTGACTCGATGGCAGTGAAGTTGGTTTTTGTTTTTGTTTATGAATTGGTTCCTTTTATGAGTGATGGAGAGGTTAAGTTTCTGATCAAAATGAAATTGTTTTACCCTAACTTTACAAGGCAGGCTTATTAAAAGGAGAAATATAAGAAATCAAACTCATGAATTTTATTTTCTGTTTTATTAGATTTTATTTATTATAAGCAAATTCTAAATATTTGATGGCTCATAGAGGTTTGTGCATGTTTCGGGTCCACTAGATTTTGCCACAGTCTGCCAAGAATGCACTGATTTCCATTTTCCCCGAATCGAAGAGCAACTGGAAGTTGTCCAGCAGGTGGTCCTTTATGCGAGAGCCCAGCGTCGCAGCAAAATGAAAGACTCACGTGGTCAGTAAAACTGTTTTTTACATTTCACTTTCAATATATTACGTCCCTACCCATTCTAATATATGGGTCATCATTAAAATTATATAGAATACTGTACTGGTGGAAAAGTGGTAGAAGGAAATCAAGAAAATTCAAGATCTTCAGAATTCCTTTTGTACATGGATAAGCTCTTGTTCAAGATCCTTAACAAACGATGTGCTTTATGTTTTGCTGTTCATTTAACTACTGTTGTTAAGCACGATGGCTCCCTGGTGGAGTAGTGCTTGGCTGCCTGGTGGAGTAGTGCTTACGAGTTGGGCTGCGACCGTCATGGTCGGCAGTTTAAAACTACTATCAGCTCCAAGGGTGAAAGAATGGGCTTTCTACTCCTGTAAGCAGTTTCAGTCTCGGAAACACACAGCGGGTCACTGTGAGTCAGCATGGACTCGATGGCAGTGAATTAAGCATGAAGTTGGCACCAATGGGTAGTTCATCTTTTGAATCAATTTCTTTATCCCTGTATTCTAAAATGGACAAAATCATTAATATAGGGGAAAAAAATTATTCACTGCCCAGCCACCCTGTAAGACCGGGCAGAACTGTCCCTTTGGTTTTCTGAGACTAACTGTACAGGAGTAGGAAGCCCGGCGTTCTCCTGCCCTGTTACAGAAGGTATTGAAGAGGAAGCCGTAACACCAATGCACACCTTGTTTTTTTCTTCCATTGTTGGTCCGCTTGAGTAGCATTGAGTCAATTACATGAGTTGTTTTTGGTTGTTCTCGGAAAATGAAAATTTAAAAGCCCTTAAGCTACCGCTTTTTCTATAGTGTTCACAACATAACTGTCCATTCAGACTATTTGGGGAAGGTACTCAGAAATCTTCGTGAAGCGATGAACTCTACAGGAGTAGAGACCCCACCTTTCTCCCTGCGCTGTGGCTGGTGGTTTCAAACTGCTGCCCTGTGGTTAGAAGCCCAAGAGGGGTAGGAAAGGCACTCTCAATGTATGCTCCGTGAAAAGGGCACGACGGGGGTGGAGCCGCCCTCCACAGGCGTCCTTCATAAGGGGCCTCTTTCTTCAGACGTCTTCTGTCTGCACTTGGAGAATTTAGGGGAGACGTGAGTCACATAAAACGCTCTAACACAAATTACAGAGTCATGCTAAGCTTTAGTTGAAAATGGAAGTTGAAAAAGTATTTTTCTTTATAAATTAGATTGGTATCATAAATTTATTGTTAGGAGGCAAATACAAGATAATGTAAGTTTCCACAGTTTTTCAAGCTCCCACGTACAAAAGTAATCTTCATTTCAAGTATTTGTAAGGTGTGTTTTTCCTCATATCACAGCTATAAAATCACTAAGCATGCTCTTGTTTAGCTTGAATACATTATCCATAATTTATTGTTCACTGTAAAAAATTGTTGTCGGTTTCCAAGAAAAAAATTATTGAAAGTTTTAATATTGGAGCTGGTCAAACTTTTAAATCCACTTTAGGTACTGTGGATACTTGTCCCTGCTGCCCACGACTGTAGTGTTTAGAGCAAACCATTGCAGTAACTTAAATGCATATGTTTTGTGGTAAGCAAAGAGATACTGTTCTATCTTTGGTCGACAGCTTTCTTCTCATTTCACAGGGTACTCTATGGAATTCTTCCTTTACTTTTGAAGCTAACAGGTAGCTAACTAGTCTTAGTTGGTGAGTAGTTTTCGCTAGAATGTTGCAAGTAGAAGGGCCGCAAAACAGAGGAAGGCCCTTGAGGGATGGATTGGCCCCTGCCTGCAACACTGGGCTCGAGCACAGGGACAATGGGGGGTGCAGGACCGGCAGCCTTTCTTCTGTTGTGCGCAGGGCTGCTATGGGCCAGGACCAATGCAA